AAATAAGTCCAAGGTTTTCTGCTGAAATGTCTATAATGTTAAATTTATATCAAGACAGCATAAAAAGCAAGTAGCAAAGACAATCGAAACAAAATCTGTCTCCAAAAAAACATTTAATGAAAGCATTCAAATCAGATCTCTCCCCCGCCCCATCTAGAATATCAAGAATGAACTGACTTATTTCAACAACACCACAGAAAATATCTGATTGGAAAATGCTTTACAACTATAAACAGGTAGTTCTCTACTTAAAATGGCAGTAAGGATTGTAATTTCCATCACTAAGTGATACAGTCTTAAAGCACAATCACACTGTTTAGCAATCCCTGTAGTCTCAGTGGCTGCCAATAACTGAATCCCATGGTTGCTAGGCAAGGCAACTTCCTGTCAACTTCCCTTAACCAAGTCAGTATGGAAGGTAGCAGGAAGTTGTAGTCCCAGGTCTGCAAGCAGGTACAGATGGGGTAGCAGCAATAGGGTGGAAGAGGATATGGGCGAGGGTTGGGAAAGTGTATGAGAGGTGCTACAAGAAACAGATGCCAAGAGGTGCCATGCAAGTTGGAAAGAATGCACAACAGATATTGCATGAGGAAGGTGGTGTGGATGTATGTGAGTGGCGCGGGGAAGACGAACAAGGGTGATAAAAGGTGTCATGTAATGTGGGGAGGATTCATGAGTACAATGAAGTGCATGACATGCCGTGCATGTCAGGAAGGAAGTATGACAGGATATTTAGGTACTGTGTAGATTGAGAGTGCACAAGGATATATGCAAGAAGTGCCACATGGGTTGGGAAGGGTGCAAGAGTGGCCAGACAAGGATGAGCACAAAGGAATTGAAGAAGGGTAGAGGGGTGGTAGAAATTTATCCCAATGACTTTTGATCTTCCCTCCTAGCTTCCCGTTTGACTTTCTGGGGAAGCCAGCATGGAAGTTGCAAATGATGACCATGTGATTGTGGGGCTTTTAAATAACTAGTCATAAATGTGAATGGGTTGTCAAGCACCCAGATCATGATCATGTAACTATAGAGGTGTTGGGCGTGGGGCTGTGGTGGCCGATGTGGTTAGGACACTGAGTCAGAAAACCATTGAGAGGTCGATAGCTCGGCAGTTGTAAACCCGAGAGCGCAAGCCACATGACTAAATGAGTTCCCATCAATTTGCACAGCTCTTTCCAAGCTAGCAGTTCAAAAGCATGTAAATGCAAGTGGATAAATAGGTACCACTTCAATGGGAAAATACCAGGGACATGAAAGGAGCCCCCTCAGGCATCCCCTCGGCAACAATGATGTCACTGGCTAATCCTTTCAACCACCTTGGTAGGTGCTTCTGACACAAATCTAGTATAATAGTAGGATTTCTAAAACTCTGAGAACTGCACTTTTTTCAGTAAAAACTGAACTAACTTTAAAAATCCCCTAAATATAAGTTTTGGAGTGCTTTTCATTTCATATAATTTGCATTTTTTGGCCTAGATTAGAACAAGCAACAAAGCCTCTTTCTATTTTGATCATTAAAGAATAACTGTTATTCTAAAAAAAGGACTAAATCTTTATAAAATCTCTTTTTTGTAATTTTGAAACTGTAGCTAGTGTATATATTAAATATTTTTGCTCCAAATAACAATTATCTTGAACAAATGTAATTTTATAATGACCAACCTCATCTTTAAAATTTTATAAACACAAAGCACAACATTCACACTGTCACAAAAAGACTTATTTACATGTTTGTACTCACAGAAAGACAGAGATATATACAATTTGATTTTAACTGCCTGTTTTAATGATGGGGCATGCATTAAAATCTTTGCATGTTCATAAAAACAATATTTTCCATTTTTTCAAAATAAATACAGTAACATACATCCTATTCTCAAATTTTGCCACATGAAATAGACCTTCAAAGGGGAAAATTCAGGTTCCACCTTTCAATCAAATGTTGCTTGCTTATGATCACTGACTTTAATACATATAAATACATATACTATGTAATTATATGTGGTGGATCCAAAGAGAAGAAAGATTTGATCCCATCTCTGTATATTTGTTATAATATAGTTTGCACATATAATTTAACCTAGAAACCCAAAACCTAATGAAATAAATAAATAAATCATTCAACTGATCCACTATCCAGAGGCTCCTCATATTATATCAATTTTGTAATTTGCCAAATATGAAAAAAAAATCTATTTTTCAATGGAAGGATTATTTTATATGGAAAAAAACTATTAAAGAAGTTGAACTAATGAATTTGTTCCTTCAAGAGGAGCTAACAGCATCATTTATTTTTATCAGAAGAAAGAAGTCAATTAAAAATTACTGTTGACACTAACCACAGATCAGTATTGATCCATTAAATTTTTTCAAATATTTCTACTTATCTTTTAAAATATTTTGTGTATCTATCAAACTCTAAAACTGATTTCTCATGTTCAGTTTTAGGCAACGTTCTAGAACCAGATTAAATAAGGAATTACTTTCAATATATTGTGGAAGACTAGCAGTGATCTCAATAGAGATTATGAAGATAGAAGCAATATAAATTTGTAGTGCAAGATGTTTGTATTAAGTGGAGGGAATCTTATGTCATCGATGCTTCTTTAAAAATTGATAAGAGTCAATATTGCTATAGGACTTATGACAATACTGTTCTGGTAAGCTTGGAACAGCTCATTTTCAACTAGAACAGAGACAATGTTGAAATGGTTGGTGACATCTCAGCTTTGCAAATCAGAATTATGACCATGATTTTAAACCATTCTAATCTGGTTTCTATCCTACTTTTCACACTTTTGATTTTCTTGAATCCAATCAATCGAGACTGTAAAAAATGACAAGTATCCTTTAAAATTCTGAATCAAAACATTTTCTACTGTTTTAAATAAACTTAATTTTGTTTAATAGAATTGTATTATTATTTATGCCTTACGCTGAATGGTATATAAAGTTCTTTATCATTTTCTTACAATGTTTTCAACATAAAAATATTAGGAATAAGCAATAATTCTGTAATTGTAGTTATAATTGCTGCAATGGAAATCAGAACCAATCTTCCTTCCTTCCTCCCTCCCTCCCTCCCTGTATTAGTTTGTGTTAGATTTTATGTCCTCTAAAAAACTAAAGATTTTTTATGCTAGCAGTGTAAAAAATTTGAGGGTTCGCTAACCCATATAATATAGTCATGATCATTTGATAACTTTTTGGAATTAAGGTATTTAAGTAGATTTCTGGGAAAATATTTAAATGTTTTAAATGTTAAATGTGATATTGAATTATACATCAAAGCTTGTTTAACAGAAATTATGGTTATATTGAACAAGGGGGTGATTAAAAAAATTATACTGCAAAATGTGAGAAATTGTTATTCCAGATGTTAAAAAATGTTTGTCAGCGATCTGTTTTAGAAGAGATAATATTTTCCACCAATCAAACAGAAGTAGCACAATGTGTTCCTATAACAGATATTTTGTGATATTTTGCAATAATATTTTGTAATAATATCAATTATATTATAGTGCATTTATCAGTAGATTAGTGATTGTTGATATGTATAATAAATATGCTACTATAATAGAATAAAAGATTTCTCTCTCTATTTGGTTTTTCCTATTTTTTTAAAAAATAAAAATGGTTTTATTATTTGACCAGTGATACAAATACAAATAATATGTATTTTAGTTTTTGAATGTTTTGATATAATAATAGTTTCTTGTGATGCACGTTTATATGCTTTGGAAAAAGTGGGCAATAAAGCTACTCTAGCTTTTTTCCATTTTATAAAAAAATATTTAGCTTAAAATTAATGTTATTGTACCTAAAAAAAAGCAGATAAAGTTCTATTGAAATTCTATTTAAACAGTCCAAGAAGCATTTAATACATAAATTATTCAATCCCAAAACACTGTGAAGGAACATTAATAAAGTTTCAGATTTTACAACAGAAGAATCATGGACTCCCTCAACTTCTACCTCCTACCTACTTTCAGTTTGATGGACGAATATGCCAACAAATCTAACCTAAAATTAAGGTTTATCCATTTAAAACTCCTGGAAACTAATCAAGGAGAGAAGCAACCTAGAACTAAGGAGAAATTTCCTGACAGTTAGAACAATTAACCAGTGAAACAACCTGCCTCCAGAAGAGGTGAACGCTCCAACACTGGAAGTTTTTAAGAAGAAAGTGGACAGCCATTTGTCCGAAACAGTATACAGTTACCTGCCTGAGTAGGGGGTTGGATTTGATGATCTCCAAGGTCCCTTCCAACTTTATTATCATCATCATTATTTTAAAACAAATTATAACATCCATCTTGGAAATAATCAGTTTAGTAGTGTGTTTGTGTGTGTGTGTATGTTTCTGCTACAATATTTTGAGTACTCTGATAAAAAGTAGATGTAAAGAAATACATATCAAATTGTGTACACAATAACCAAGAACTTAATATTGCTGTCAACATAATATTAAAACTTGAACCACATCAATTTTCATCTCATGCCCCATGAAATTGATTATTCTGTACATTTGAATTAAAGATTAAAAATTAAAGATGCATTACTTAATAGAATATTTTACAATCTTCACTTTTGATTCTTCAATTCATTGCAAGAATAGCCAAGACATAAATATCAAAGTGAAAAAAATCACTGACTTCAATTTTTTTAATGCTATTAACAAACTAGATAAGCCATTGGCTTAAATTCACAGTATCAAATGCTGTATGTTCTAATCATTTCTTAGTTACTTCAGTAAGTAATTTTCAAAGACTAATCATGATTCTTGAAAATAAAAACATAACCTAGAAGCATTAAAGAGAAAATTAGCTGAAATAAACAAAATGTCAGGTAATTGAACATAAAGCTTAGATGTGTTCTGTATTAATGTTAATTATTGGAACCAGATATTTACATTCAGAATCTAACCTGAAATACATTAAAATTGCAAAAGTTTATATTAATTTAATTATTAGACTCAATAATGAACTTTTATTTCTTACCATTGTAAGTTATCCTTGGTTTTGTCAAACACATCACAAGATGTAAATCCATTTCTTCTGAAGAAACAAACTTGGAACAAACTGGGCCTTTGAATCCTGAAAAGAAAGAAAATACATAAATAATCCCATTTTGCTTTATTAACTATATCTCTTTCTTTGTATTTTTATGCTATAATAGGCCATGTATCTAAGATAGATTATACAGTATTGTTTACATATGGAATTGAGTGCTTATACCATTGGCAAATACAAATTGAAGTACAAGTACAAAAAGAAAAACTTAACATCCATAGGAATTCAATTCTAATTATCTTAGTATTGGGAAAAAATAAGTATGCTTAGAAAAACATGTTGGCTTTTTTTTTTTGCTTGTAAAAAAGTTTTTGCTTGCAAGTAAGTTTCATTTATCAATCAGTTTTGTCTGCTTATTTTGACTGTCTCACATATTTTCCTGCCAAATGGGTTAAGGATACTGATTGCTGCTTGAAAGTTATTTCTGAGAAGGAGCATTGGGTTACCTGAATGCCTCTTCTCAGCATAATGATAGAAAATTCACCAATGGGTTGACTCTGTCTTCCTGCCCAATCAGACTAAGTCAGTCAAAGTTGCCACGCCTGTCCTGGTCTGGGACCACCCAGTCTCAACAACGGTAGAGCCATTGACGACAGTCCAACGTATTGACTCTCAAGAGAAGGAAAAGAACCACCTCTTGACACGGGACCTAACTGAACTCTAAAGGGGTGGGTGTGGATTCTCCATCATCATGCTAAGAAGAGGCATTCAGGTAAGCCAACGCTCCTTCTCCAGCATGATGGATGGAGAATCCACCAATGGGACATACCAAAGCCCCATGGGAGGGAGTCAGTTGGGGCCTGTGTCCCGGGTCTTGGCACTACCTGTTGCAGCACTCTGCGATCAAAGGAGGCATCTGCAGAGGCAAATTTGTCTAGCTGCTAATGCTGCACAAAGAGAAAAGGCAAGGACCATGTCACCACCCTACAAATGTCCTCTATAGATGCCTGCATTGCCCATGCAGCAGAGGTGGCAGCGCTGCGAGTGGACTGTGCCGTCAGTGGAACTGACAGGGAGAGCGACCTTGCTATGCAAGGTATACCCTTGCTATGCAAGTCCTGATCCACCTGCTTATGGTAGAGGCAGACACCTTCTCCCCATAGAAGAAGGTTGGAATGAGACGAAGGGGGCTTGTGACCTACAAAAGGCCGCCATCCACTTGATATAATAGCGCAAGGCTCTGCCATTGCTGTTCCAGGTCATGTGTCAGACGAGGGCAAAAGTCTGGGAGAATGACCTGTGCTCTGTGAAACACAGTGTTGATCTTAGGGAAAAAGGAGGGATCCAACCTGAGAATCCCCCTGTCTTCGCGAATGATGCATAGGTCCTCTCTGATAGAGCTGCTAGCTCCGAGATGCATCTAGCTTTGGTGATGGCTATCAAGAAGACGACCTTGAGCAACAAGGACCGCAGAGTACAGATTCTAATGGGTTTGAATGGGGACTTAATCAGGGCCTGTAGGACCCACAACAACCCCCAGGAGGGATACCTGTGAACCACGGGCAGCCTGCTGTTAGTGACTCCCTTAAGGAGCAGACCATGGGGTGTTGAGACAATGACCCCGATTTGTCCCAGGAGAGCACCATGGATTGAGCCACCACCTGTCTGCGGATAGTATTGGGCGCTAAGCCCATTGATGCCTTCTAATAAATAGTCCAGGACCTTAGGGATCACTTCTGAGAGAGTCACTTCTGAGAGAGTCAAGTGAGTCTTGTCACACCAGTGACAGAAATTCCGCCAAGTGTGATCATAAATGCGATTAGTCGCTGGCCTCCTTGAGGCCTGAATCATGTCAATCACGCCTGATGAATATGACTCTTGTGTCAAGGCGCGGCACTCAATCGCCAGACGGCTAGTTGGCGCAACTGGGGCTCTGGATGGTGCAATGCCCCCTGAGTTAGAACTATGCGACCTGGGGGAATCCTCCACAGGGGAGCCATGGAGAGACTCACAAGGTCTGCAAACTACGGTTGTATTACTTCCACCTGCTCCTGCAGTATTCTCCTGATAACTGCCAGAATCAAAGGGAGAGGAGGAAAGATGTACAGAAGACCCCTTGTCCATGGACTGTGGAGGGCATCCGTTCCCTCCGCCCCCAGAAAGGGAAACCGGGAAAAAAACCTGGGAAGTTGAGTGTTCTCTGGAGAAGCGAACAGGTCCAGAAGTGGATGGCCAAACCTCTCTGCGATCTCTGTGAAGAGATCCAGGTGCAGTCACCACTCCGAATGGTCCACTGTTGATCTGCTGAGGAAGTCCGCCTGCTGATTCGCTTCTCCCGAAATGTGTTCAGCTCTGATGGAAAGAAGGTTGCCCTCTGACCAAGAACCCAGCAACCGAGCCTCCGTCATGAGGGACCTGGAGCGGGTGCCCTCTTGCCGGTTCACGTGAGCCTTCGCCGCCACATTGTCCATGAGGACCAGCATGTTGCCTCACAATCTTGTTGTGGAAGTGATGGAGAGCCAGATGGATCGCCCTGAGCTCCAACCAACTGATGTTGTGCTTCAGATCTAACCGTGACCATTGGCCCTGAGCCAACGGAGATTGGAGGTGCGCTCCCCAGCCGAACAGACTGGCATCTATGGTCAGGATGATTTGGGGGGTGTCTTTGAACAGTGACCCTTTGTTTATGGCTGGGGAGGTCCACCAATTGAGGGATTGGAGGACCTGAGGTGGAACCCTTACACGTTGCTGGAGGAGCTGGTGCCCAGTCTTTGAAAAGGGAGCAAGAACCATTGAAGAGTCCTGGAATGTAGTCTGGCCCAAGGCATATTGCTATGCATGATATTAATTTTCCCAGCAGCTGGGAGAGCAAAGCTAGTGCCACTACATGCTCCCTGCGGACCCTGAGGACCAGGCCTCGGATGCTGTCCTGATGGTCCCTTGACAGGTAAACATAACAAGAGTGTGTGTCTATTACCGTGCCTAGATATAGAAGGCGGTTGAGGGAACTGTCTGACTCTTTTGAAAGATTAGAGGTTAATACATCAAGAGAGTGAAGAAGATCTTAAAGTCCAAACTCAATGGAAGAAATACCATAAAGGCAATCAACACTTGGGCAATTCCAGTCATTAGGTACACAGCTGGAATAGTGGACTGGACTCAAGCAGAACTAAAAGCAATGTATAGGAAGACCAGAAAAATAATGACAATGAATCATGCCCTTCATCCACGCAGTGACATTGACAGACTTTATCTACCAAGGCAAATAGGTGGGCGTGGAATGCTACAAGTACATCAGATGGTTGAAGAAGAAAAAATGGCTTTGGAAGAATATCTGAAGAACAATGATGAAGATGTACTGAAATTAGTATATCAGGAAGGCTTACTAACTACTGGAGAGACCAAACTGGCCTACAAGAAAGACCAAATGAAGAACAGAATAGAGGCATGGGAAGACAAAGAACTACATGGCCAATACATTAAAAAAAATAGCTGGGAAAGCAGATAATAACAAGACCTGGCAATGGCTAAGAGCAGGAAAATTGAAGAAAGAGACCGAGGGACTAATTCTGGCTGCACAAGACCAAGCCTTAAGGACAAATGCATACAAAGTCAAAATTGAGAAGACAGCAACAGACAGTAAGTGCCGCCTATGCAAAGAAGCTGAAGAAACAGTGGACCACTTGGTAAGCTGTTGCAAGAAGATTGCACAAACTGATTACAAGCAGCGGCATGACAAAGTAGCAACAATGGTGCATTGGAAGATCTGCAAAAAATATCATTTGCCTGTAAGCAAAAACTGGTGGGATCGTAAAATAGAGAAAGTCATAGAAAATGATAAAATTAAACTGCTCTGGGACTTCAGAATTCAAACAGACAAGCACCTGCACCATAACACCCCAGACTTAACAACTGTCGATAAGAAAGACAAAAAAGTCTGGATAGTGGACGTGGCAGTGCCTGGAGACAGCAGAATAGATGAGAAAGAACTGGAGAAGATAACAAAATACAAAGACCTACAAATAGAAATAGAAAGACTGTGGCAAGAGCAATAGTAATAAGCTCCTTGGGTGCAATCCCAAAACAACTGGAGCATCACTTGAACACCATTGGCATTGACAAATTCGCTATTAGTCAATTGCAAAAGGCGGCCTTACTAGGAACTGCTTCCATCCTGCGACGATACCTGTAATACCATCAAACATCCACATCTGCCTATCCCAGGTCCTGGGTAAGACTCGATAGGTAGACAAAATGCCAAATCCAGTCTGAACATCTGGCTGACTGTGCGATGATCCATAATAATAATAATAGTAATAATAAAGTTGGAAGGGACCTTGGAGTCATTGAGTCCAACCCCTGCTCAGGCAGGAAACCCTACACCATTTCGGACAAATGGCTGTCCAGTCTCTTCTTAAAAACTTCCAGTATTGGAGCATTCACCACTTCTGAAGGCAGGTTGGTTGGTTAATTGGTTCTGTCAGGAAGTTTCTCCTTAGTTCTAGGTTCCTTCTCTCCTTGATTAGTTTCCACCCGTTGCTTCTTGTCCTGCCTTCAGGTGCTTTGGAGAATAGCTTGATTCCCTCTTCTTTCTGGCAGCCCCTGAGATATTGGAACACTGCTATCATGTCCCCCCTTGTCCTTCTCTTCATTAAACTAGATATACCCAATTCCAGCAACCGTTCCTTATATGTTTTAGCCTCCAATTCCCTAATCATCTTTGTTGCTCTTCTCTGTACTCTTTCTAGAGTCTCAGCATCTTTTTTACATCATGGTGACCAAAACTGGATGCAGTATTCCAAGTGTGGCCTTACCAAGGCATTGTAAAGTGATATTAATACTTCACGTGATCTTGATTCTATCCCTCCGTTAATGCAGCCGGGCATTCTGTTGGCTTTTTTGGCAGCTGCAGCACACTGCTGGCTCATATTTAAGTGACTGTCCACTAGGACTCCAAGATCCCTCTCGCAGGTACTACTATTGAGCAAGGTACCCCCTATACTATACCTGTACATTTGGTTTTTCTTGCCTAAATGTAGAACCTTACTTTTTTCACCATTGAATTTCATTTTGTTAGATAGCGC